AGCCCTAACTGGTTTGGCTCAGTGGATAGAGCATCGGCCTGCGGACTGAAAGGTCCCAGGTTCGATTCCGGTCAAGGGCATGTGCCTTGGTTGCGGGCACATCCCCAGTAGGAGGTGTGCAGGAGGCAGCTGATCGATGTTTCTCTCTCATCGGTGTTTCTAACTCTCTATTCCTCTCCCTTTCTCTCTGTAAAATCAATAAAATATATTTTTAAAAATGTAAACCAGATCATGTTGTTTTCCTGCTTAAATTCAAGTGACGGTTTCACATTGCTCTTAAGTATTTATAATTTTCTGGTAGAATGGTCACCTCTACTTGCTGATGGCTACAGACAAGAAATACCACATCTCTTTGTTTAATCCCTTTAGTCCCAGCATCTAGTATGTTGACCAATACCCAAGGTCACTTGCACCCCTCACCGCTTCACACTTGAGTGCTCTGCAGATGACTTCCATGTCAAGATTATTCATGCAGGAGGCCGCCGGTCAATGATTCTCTCTCGTCACTGATGTGTCTATCTCTCTCTCCCTCTCCCTTCTTCTCTGAAATAAATAAAAAAGAGTATTCTCTCCCAACTTCTGAATCTGTCCCACACAGCAGGCAGTGAGCTTCTAAGGATGTAAATCAGATTATGTCACCCTCCAAGGTAACCGCACCCCATGTTGCTTCCCACTGCATCAGAATGAAGCCTCAACTCCTAATTAGAGTCCTCAAGGCCTAGTGCTTCTGAGCCTTGCCCTTCTCTCTCTCTCCTAACCTGTCACTCATCCACCTTGCTGCCTGCCATCAGCTTCTTCCTTTAAAAACAATTTTGCAGCCCTAGCCGGTGCGGCTCAGTTGGTTGAATGCGATCCTGCACACCAGAAGCTCACAGGTTCAATTCCCAGCCAGGGCACACGCCCAGGATGCAGACTCAATCCTTGGCCTGGGTGCCTGCAGAGACAGCTGTTTGATGTTTGTCTCTCACAGCAATGTTTCTGTCTCTCCCACCCTCTCCCTTCCTCTCCCTAAATTCAATAAAAACATATATTTTATCGATTTTTTAAATATATGTTATTCATTTTTTTTACAGAGAGGAAGGGAGAGGGATAGAGAGTCAGAAACATTGATGAGAGAGAAACATCGATCAGCCGCCTCCTGCACACCTCCTACTAGGGATGTGCCCGCAACCAAGGTACATGCCCTTGACCGGAATCGAACCTGGGACCTTTCAGTCCGCAGGCCGATGCTCTATCCACTGAGCCAAACCAGTTAGGGCTATTTTATTGATTTTTTTACAGAGGGAGAGGTATAGAGAGTATAGAGAGTTAGAAACATCGATGAGATAGAAACATCGATCAGCTGCCTCCTGCACACCCCCTACTGGGGATGTGCCTGCAACCAAGACACATGCCCTTGCCTGGAATCGAACTTGAGACCCTTCAGTCTGCAGGCCGACGCTCCATCCACTGAGCCAAACCGGCCAGGACTAAAAAATATAGATTTAAAAATTGCAGTTGACATACGATATATTAGTTTCAGGTGTACAACATCACTATAGACAAGGCATTTATATACCTTACAAAGTGGTAAGTCTAGTACCCATTTGACACCATACATAGCTATTACAATATTATTGACTACATTCCCTGTATGGTATTTATAATATATTTTTATTGATTTCAGAGAGGAAAGGAGAGGGAGAGAGGGATAGAAACATCAGTGATGAGAGAGAATCATTGACCAGCTGCCTCCTGCACGCCCCACACTGGGAATCAAGCCTGCAACCCAGGCATGTGCCCTTGACCAAAATCTAACCCAGGACCCTTCAGTCTGCAGGCTGATGCTCTATCCACTGAGTCAAACCAGCCAGGGCTCCCTGTACTGTACTTTAAATCCCAATTTGTGCCTCTTAATCTCTTCATCTTTTCACCCATCCGCCCAGCCTCTTCTCATCTTGTTTCTTTCTTTCTTTTTAAATGTTTTTATTGATTTCAGAGAGGGAGAGAGAGAAACATCAATGATGAGAGAGAATCATTGACTGGCCGCCCCCTGCACCCTCCACATTGGGGTTCGAGCCCGCAACCTGGGGATGTACCCTGACCGGGAATCGAATCATGACTTCCTGGTTCATAGGTCGACACTCAATCACTGAGCTAAGCAGGCTGGGCTCATCTTTGGTTTCTTGATTGCAACATATTCTTTCCACCTGAGATCCTTTGCTAGTGCTTATCTTTCTGCCAAAATACACTGTTTTTATTGATTTCAGAGAGGGAGAGAGAGAAACATCAATGATGAGAGAGAATCATTGACTGGCCGCCTCCTGCACGCTCCACATTGGGGTTCGAGCCCGAAACCTGGGGATGTACCCTGACCGGGAATCGAATCATGACTTCCTGGTTCATAGGTTGACACTCAATCACTGAGCTAAGCAGGCTGGGCTCATCTTTGGTTTCTTGATTGCAACATATTCTTTCCACCTGAGATCCTTTGCTAGTGCTTATCTTTCTGCCAAAATGCTCTTTCCCAGTTCATCATATGCTGGCTCCTTCTCATGCTTGAGAGGTCAGGTTTAAGTAGACCTGTTCAAAAATGCTTTCAGCCCTGGCTGGTTTGGCTCAGTGGATGGAGCGTCAGCCTGCAGACAGAAGGGTCCCAGGTTCGATTCCGGTCAAGGGCATGTACCTTGGTTGCGGCACATCCCCAGGTAGGAGGTGTGCAGGAGGCAGCTGATCGATGTGTCTCTCGATGTTTCTAACTCTCTATCCCTCTCCCTTCCTCTCTGTAAGAAATCAATAAAATATATTTAAAAAAAAAAAAGGCTTTCATGCCTGGCTGGTTTGGGTCAATGGATAGAGCACCGGCCTGTAGACTAAAGGGTCCCAGGTTCGATTACGGCCAGGGGGACATGCCTGGGTTATGGGCTCAATCCCCAGTGGGGGGCATGCAGGAGGCAGCCAATCAATGATTCTCTCTCATCACTGATGTTCCTCTCTCTTTCCCTTCCTCTCTGAAATCAATAAAAACATATTTTTTAAAAACCCAAATGATCCCACTTTTGTGGATTCTTAAAGGTATCATGGGCCCTGGGCACTGTGCCTTCTGAAGTCTAGGATTTAAAAAAGATCAGAAGCCATACACACTAAGGGGCCAGACCCTAATGGGGCTGGGCGGGGGGGGAGGACTCAGATCAGGCTGCTATCCTGATTCCCCTTCAAAGAGGTACCTGCTTGCTGTCAGCTGTGGGTGCCTTCTGGAGCCAAGATCACACTCATTTCCCAGTAGCCTCTAACCCAGCCGTGGGCAAACTACGGCCCGCGGGCCGATCCGGCCCGTTTGAAATGAATAAAACTAAAAAAAAAAAAAAGACCGTACCCTTTTATGTAACGATGTTTACTTTGAATTTATATTAGTTCACACAAACACTCCATCCATGCTTTTGTTCCGGCCCTCCGGTCCAGTTTAAGAACCCATTGTGGCCCTCGAGTCAAAAAGTTTGCCTACCCCTGCTCTAACCACTAAGCCAGCAAGGCCATGAAAAGCTCAAAGAATGTTTGTCCCTGCTGGTGAGTGTGGGTGGCAGTGGCCTTCCCCACACGCAGGAGGGAGAAGTGTGGATATATCTGTTTCACAGTGTATAACTGAACTATTTAAAATGTTCATACTAGGCCCTGGCCAGGTAGCTCAGTTGGTTAGAGCATTGTTCTGATACACCCAAGGCTGTAAGTTTGATCCCCAGTCAGGGCACATACAAGAATCAACCAATGAATGCATAAATAAATGGTACAACAAAACAAAATAAATAAAATGCTCATACTATGCAGCATAGGCCTGCGGACTGAAGGGTCCTGGGTTCGATTCCAGTCAAGGGCACATGTCAGGGTTGCGGGCTCAATCCCCAGTAGGGGGTGTGCAGAAGGCAGCCGATCAATGATTCTCTCTCATCATTGATGTTTTATCTTTCCCTCCCTCTCCCTTCCTTTCTGAAATCAATAAAAATATATTTTAAAAAATGTTCATACGATTCTCTCTAGCACTTAGGAAGTTCACTTCTAGCAGTTCGCCCTAAAGTCCCTTAGGAATGGTAGTGAATTTGCATTGAAGGTTAGTGTGCCCAGAGCAATTCCAGTATTAGGGGGTGCCTGAAAAGAGATATCCAAAGGTGTGTTAATCTAGATGCACAGAAACAAACCCAGTATTAGAAAAAAATTTTTTTACTGCATTAGCAAATCCAGTCCTCTCACAGCCCACTAATTATCCTGATGTACAAATAATCAAGATGTGCTTTAGAGAGTTGAAGCCTTTTGTTCTAAGTTTTGGAGTTAGAAAGAATCTGTGCTAATCTGAGGCAAAAGCTTGTGTCTGAAACCATAGCCACTCAATCCCATTTTGCATGTCATCAACATATACCCAATAATGGATATGTGGACAGTGACAAAGCACGTATTGTCAAATGTTAAGTGACTTATCTAGGGGCTGGGTACACAATGCTGATGAGGTTTCTGACCATTTGAAAATGTTCTTAGGGGAATGCTGAGGAAATGTACATCCAATAAATGCAATACTTTTTAAGGTCCACACATCTTTGGCTGAAGAAATGATCTCATTCATTTTTAGACAATCAATCCACTGATTCTTCCTTTTATTTAAAAAATACTCTGAACTTAGGGTGATCACTTAATAAGTTGTATAAATGTCTAATCACTATGTTGTTCATCTAAAACAAATATTGTATGCCAACTGTCATTGAAAAATTTTAAAAATTGTTAAAATATTCTGGTAAAAATACCTAGGGTGGCACTAAGTAAATTTCAGCCATGAGGATAAATAGTCCTCTACCGCCCCCTATAGGCCATAGTTGGTCCTTCATGTATAGCTTCAAAGTGTGAATCTGGAGTTATGGCTGCAGTGACTGAACCCTTGGGAGCCCTTTGGCACCAAAGATTCTGGCTTTGTGAACTTCTCCAGGCTACATAAGATCACAAATATTCAAGCGGAAATCAACCAGAAAAAAAAAACAACACCGAAATTGAACTTCTAAGATTAGAAAAAGATACCGCGGATGTTTCTTCATCCTTCCTTTTTGGCTCAAGAGCGTCGTGCTTTGCAAAGCATGAATAATCCTTTGGAAGCAGTGCTGAAAGAGACGTGGTCCCTCAGGCAAAGACAAAGTCAGGAAAACCTGCCCATTGTAGCTGTTTACCACAGGGACCTGGTCCATTTGCTGGAAGTTGGCAGTAACTTTTCCATGAGAGCTTTAGAAACCCATCTTGACACAATTAGAAATATTCCTCATTTAGATGTAAATATAAAAACAATGAGCAAGGCTTTAGCCAAGATGGATATTTTGGTGAACGAGACAGAAGACACAATTAGAATATTCCTCATTTAGATGTAAATATAAAAACAATGAGCAAGGCTTTAGCCAAGACGGATATTTTGGTGAACGAGACAGAAGAATATAAAGCAGAGAATA